TCACCGCCCAGGGATGCAAGGCTTCCTACATCCACACCCCATTCATACAGAACCTGAAAACGCAGTGGGCTGCCCCATTTTCACCGAAAGGACAAGAGCCATCAAATTAAAAATAAGCACGATCTGCAATTTTATTTGTAAATTAAGAACCAAAATGCAGCTTATGATTTATTATTTCAACCAAATGTGTTTCCAAGCTTGCGAATCATTAGTAAACCCAGGGTGTGCTGTGAGAGACACTGCTTTCATTAAACTCTGTACTTTACGTAACCCAAACTGCAGAGATACAGTGACACTTTCAGATGAGCATAGAATTTCCTATTTTGGCAACTCAAACTGTTTACTTGTCTGCTGGGGCTATATCTTCGGTAAGGAAAACAATATTTGCAGCCATGTGTAATAGAAAAGTATCATTTTTCAGAGCATCTCAGAATTAAACCAGGCAATGGCTCGATGAATAACGTGATTTCATATTTGGATGCCATGATCATTGAAAATTTGCACAAGTAGTTTCTGTCCACTTTAAAGGAAACATATATTATCTGTCATACTTAGCAGTCTCAGGATAAGATGGAGCCAAGAATGAAATAACAGAAGGTTTTAAATTATGACAGAAGTATACCAGGAGATCTGTGGAAACTTCAGGTCCCCTGAACTGAACTCTAGTAAGCACAAGTGTGCTCTGTGATGTTTTTAGACCATCCTATGATTCAGCTCCCTCAATTAAAGAACAAAGAAAAAAATATTTTCCATAACAGAAGTGGTTAAAGCATCTATATTTGACCCATCAGAAGTTCCTATGTGCTCTTCGGAGATCAATCTTTATTTAAACTTTAAAGATTTTATTTATTTATTTATTTGTTTGTTTGTTTATTTATTTATTTATTTATTCATACAAGCACTGGGTACAGTCAGAAGCGCGGGAGGGTGAGAGAATTCAGCAGAGCCAGAGCGGGGAGCAGAGCAGGCAGAAGGACCGAAGTACACTGCTGAGGGGAGCAGCGGGCGGCAGGGGAGGTCTGCGCGCCATGCGGGACCCTCCTCTGGTGGCCTGGGAGCAGCCGGGGATCGAACCGGTGCCGCAGAGGCTGCGGCCAGCCTTGCAACGCAGCGCTCAACCTCTGCGCCACCGGGGAGGCCCTAAACTTTAAACCTTTGACTTTTTATTACATCTAAGTAGGTTACTTGGTGGCAACCCTTAAAAGGTAAATATGTAAGACTTTCAGTCTAGATAGTGATTACTGGGATTTTTTAATCCCTACCCTCTCCAGCTCTGTCAGTTTCTCTCTTTTCCCAAATCTCTGTTTTCTAATGTACATGAGGCTTCTTTTTCCTTTAAGGTATATGCAGATGATCATGTGACTGTACCTATATTTTATCTGACCTTGCTGCTTCCCCTTATATCAACATGTCACCTCTTTCCTTTGTAGACATCCTACAAGAAGAATAAAGTCTCTTGAGCTCTCCACTCTCACCCTACTCCCTTCCTCCCTTTCAGACTCTATCCTCAGGTGTAAAGGGAATCGCAGATCATCAGGCTCGTTTTTTTTTTTTTTAACAGGAATTGCAAACCATTATTTTTTTCCCTTTTTAATTTTTTTTAAATAATAAATTTTATTTTTATATTCCCCATACAATTGCAACCCCCCAACACCCCATTCTGACCCCAATCCCTCCCCTCCCGCCCCCCACCCCCAAAAAAGTGTCTCTGGTTCATAGTTTTTTGTTGATTTTGATTTTCACTTTCTTATAGTTATTCATTTTCCTGGTCTCTTATTTAAGTTTTCTAGATTCCTGCTATGAGTGAGACCATCCGGTATTTTTCTTTTTCTTTCTGGCTTATTTCGCTGAGCATGATCCCTCCCGGCGCCATCCATGTTGCTGCAAATGGCATGTGTTTATCTTTTTTGAATGCTGAATAATATTCCATGGTGTATATGTACCACATCTTCTTGATCCAGTCATCTATTTTGGGCATTTGGGCTGTTTCCAAAGCTTAGCTATTGTAAACAGTGCTGCTATAAACATAGGGATGCAGGTGTTCTTTGGAATTGATGTTTCTGTGTCCTTTGGGTAAATACCTAGGAGTGGAATTGCTGGATCCTATGGAAGCTCTATGTTTAGTAGGTCAAGAAATCTGCACACAGCTCTCCATAGTGGTTGGACCAGTTTGCACTCCCACCAACAGTGCAGGAGAGTTCCTTTTTCTCCACACCCTCGCCAACATTTGTTGTTGCTAGTTTTTTTAATATGTGCCAATCTCACTGGTGTAAGATGGTATCTCATGGTAGTTTTGATTTGCATTTCCCTTCATCAGGCTCTTTTTCAAGGGAGCCCAGTGGTTTGCAGCAGGACCCCCCTCCTGGACCTTTTGGGACTGTGAGACCCCTTGAGCCCATTTCTCTCTTCATGTTCAGAACCCTGCACGAGGCTAGTCACGCTTGTTTGTATCAGTTTTGCCTCTCTTGATGCCCATGTCTCTCTCTTCATAAACTTCTGGAGTTCTCCTCTAGCCATGTCATATTTGAGCCTTAGTTAAAATAAGTTGACCCACAGAAATAAAGAAACTCAGTGACAACTTCCATAGGATAAGATCATGAAGCAAGGCCTGCCTCAGAGCAGCATATCAAGAGGGCTTGGGGGTCGGTTTAGCTCAATTCAGAGTCAGTTCTCCAAGATTTTGGAGCAAGGCAATGAACTAGAAGTCCTTTGGTGACCTTGTCTTAAACAAAGCAGGTTGTCTGGGCTCTTGGTTTAGGACAATGACTTGCACATTTTGTTTTACCCAAGAATTACACGAGTCAACAGAAACTGAAAATGATTCATGTGCAGCCATGATAAACCAGGGTATCTAGCCAAGCCAGTACTTGTCCAACTTTAGGAAAGTCTTTAAATCTCTGAATATTTACCAGATATTCCTGTCAATCAACAGAAAAGCCAGTGAAACAAAACAATATTATTTCAATTACTTCTGATAGCTAGAGATCCTACTTTTATATTGCTAGTCTGATGTTATGGTCTGTCCTTTTCTTATATTTAAGGTATTTATCAGCTAAAATTCTACGAATAGTCTTTCTTCCATGTTCACTTGCTCACAGCACAACTCTCTCCCTCCAGTGCTGTCTTACTTTTTCTTTTTTTTTTTTTTTAAGATTTATTTATTTTTATACAAGAACCGGGGTACAGGCCAGATACACGGGAGGGTAAGAGGATTCACCAGAGACAGAGCGGAAACAGAACAGGCAGACTGAAGAAATACACTGCTGAGGGGAGCAGTGGGGGAGACAGGAGAGGTCTGCTGTGCCATGTGGGTTTCTCTCCGGCCGGCCAAGATTGAACCCGTGCTGCAGAGGCTGCCGACAGCCTCACAGCGCGGCACTCAACCACCTGCACCACCAAAAAGGCCCCTGTCTTACTTTTTCTTAGAAACAATTTAAGAGGATGAAAGGACAACCACAGACTGGGAGAAGATCTTTGCAAAATACTTACTTGATAAGAGCAGGCATCCGAAATGATTTTTAAGGAGAAATGATTTTTAAGGAAAAATCATTTTTAAGGAAATTCATTTTTCCTTAAAAATCATTTCAGATGCCTGCTCTTATCAAGTAAGGAAATTCTTAAAAATTTAAGGAAATTCTTAAAAATCAGCAATAAGAAAGCCAATAACTCAATTAAAAATGTGCAAAAATATAAATACCAAACCATTATGTTGTATATCAGAAACTAATATGCTATAATGGCAGTCATACTTCAAAAATAAGTGGGCAAAAATCTGAATAGACACCTCACTAAGAAGGTATACATGTGACAGATAAGCATATGGAAAGATAATCAATGTCATGTGTTACTAAGGAATTGCAAATTAAAACAACCATGAAATATAACTATACAACTATGAGAATGACTAAAATCTAAGACCGACAAGTGCTGGGCAGGTGTGGCACAACAAGAACCCTCATTTATTGCTGATGAGAATTCAAAATGGCACAGCCACTTGGGAAGAGTTTGACATTTTCTTACAAAGCTAGAACACGGTCTTACCCATGTGTTCTTACTACCTTTTTCCTAGGCATTTGTGAATTAAGGACTATGTCACACAAATATTGCACATAGATGTTATGACAGCCTTTTTCATAACTCTCAAAAATTGCAATGAAGATATCCTTCAGTGGAGAAGGAGGTAAACAAACTGTGCATCCAGACAATGAAATATTATTTAGCAATAAAAAGAAATAAGCCATTGAACAAGAAACAATATATGGTGGAACCTATAGGCATATAATACAGTGAGATAATACAGTCTGAAAAGGCTACATTCTCTCTGATTCCAACTACATGGCATTCTGGAAAAGACAAAACTATAGAGACATTTAAAAAGATCAGTGGTTACCAGAGGTGGAGAGGCAGAGGAGGGATAAATGAATAAAGCACAGGGGATTTTTAAGGCAGTGAAACTGTTCAGTATGATGCAATAATAATGACTATATGATAGTATGCATTTGTCAAAACCCATAGAATTATAACACAAGAATAAATCCTTGGACTTGAGTAATAATTGCATTGTAAATATTGGTTCAATTTTTCTGTAAACCTAAAACTGTGCTTTTTTTTTTTTTAGTCTTAATTCATTGAGGGTTTTGTTTTGCTTTTAAATAATAACACTGAAAATTCCTTGCCCATACAGAGTGAATTTGTGTTTGGACATAGAAGGTGTAGGGAGATTTCACTAGTGAGTGTGAAAAGTTGTCACACCTGGATTTGAACATCCAGAGTCACGGTCAGTGAACTTTTTTGAGCCCTTGTTCTTCTTCATGTGTCAAGTTCGTATGACCAGGCTAGGAACACTTTAAGTAAAAAGAAGCTACTTGACTACTTCCAATAAACAGCTAAGTGTTCCACAACCTAATGTCAAACCATCCAATGCAAGGCACTAAGCCTCCTCCGTCAGCAGCTGAGAAATGTCCAACAAGCATTTAAATGCCTCTTTTCTTTTCTTCCAGGTCTTGCAATAGCCAGTGCCCTAATAGATATTTCACAACAGAAGCCTTCAGATAGTAAAGAGAAGGCTTCAGGAGTGAGAAATCGAAAGCACCACCTCTCAACACGTCAAGGAACTTGTGTCTGAGGATATTCCGTGTGTTTGACTTTGTAAATGGCTTCCTGAAGATGGTTCATGGCCTCAGCTCTGAGGGAGACAAGTCTCCTTGGTCCCAGGGCCCAAGTACAGTTCCCTCCAAATGGGCAAGTGACCCAAGTGGCCAAAGAATGTTCGTGAATTTTATAAAAGTTACAGTGTTGATTGATGGTCGCAGGCCATAATGTCAGTTTTGACGACTATCTTAGGCTTATCGTAGATAACGTTAAAATACTCTGGAAAAAAATGTATATTGTTTCTTAATGCAGATGAAAAATATGTAATTCATATAAACCAAACTGTTTATATCCCCAGACTTTAAAGAAAGACATTTTATAATGCCTGAATGATGAGACTTGTACAGTTTTTGCCTCCTACGTAAACTTAAATACTTGTATATGAACAGGCGACAAATTGCAATGACTTTAAATGCTGTTTTATCTCACTGTAAATGTAAAAGCAAGATTTTGATTTAATAGGATGTATTTCAATATTGCACATGACTATATCATGGCCAAACTTTTGTTCAATAGGACAAGTTTGAGAGTGTGACAGTTTTCCACCTAACTGGAATGCAGACCAAAATGAGCCCATTGGATGAATGGATGGTGCAACTTCCCAGGAGGGGTATTAGAATTCTGAGTGAAGAGGACATTCCTGTCACCCATGCCAACTACCTTACTCATTATCACAGCTGATAGAGCATGGAAAAGCCTGTCCAGCCATCAGGTTTCCCCTTCCTTCCAAAAACCAGCCTCTGATACCACAACGCGCAAAGAACTGAAATGTTATTTTACAGTGTGCAAACTTCTCCTCCAACATGGTAATTTTTAATTGCCTCGGAATCATTGGATCAGACCTGAACGATCCATCTGCATTCTTAAAAGAACAGATCGACTTATTTCGACCTTCCTCTGCAAGCTGCTAGGTTATATCTACCTTTTACAAATGCTATGAGAAGTGTTTCAGAGACATCGCCTCCCAAATTATTATATAACAGGTACCTTCCTGCCAACTCCTTCTCTTGGAATAGAGAAGAGCATTTACTGGCAAGCATCTCCGGTATTCTTATTTCTAACATGAACACATCGGCATCAAAGAAAGTCTCCAGTTTAAAAATAAATGTAGTTGTTGCCTGCATTCATCATATTCTTAATTCAAAAATCTGAATTAGGGCAGAAAAGGAAAAGGATAGAAAACAGCCTCCACACTGAAACACGGAATCACTTGTGTCCTCATGTTGACAGCAGTTCACTAGAGCTGAGTAGCAGTAACAAGTCTTGTTTGGAATTTAGTTTCTTAATTTCAAGGTCACTACAAGGATATGCGTAGAGAGCAGCGACCGAGTTATCCCAAACTGCTGTATTCGATACACTTTTGTTCAATATGACAGTCATTTAAATATAATTGATGTTTAGTACTATATATGTACTTTCCATGTTCTCTGGATTTCTGGAAGGTGATGACACTTTACTGTTTACAGCTAACGCATAGTTTCGTGCATGCTGCAGTCGTGCGGTAGCAGGATCCAACTCTTGTGATAGTAAATGTTAATTTCATGATGCCACTTATACATAGGCAGCTTAATTTGAGGAGGATGGAATGTAATATATAACAGGAATGATCATACACTATGTAGTTGCATCGTATATAAGATTGCTAGGTTGCATCTAATCGCGACTATGTCATTGTTTTGATAATTAGGCACTTATGAATTAGAGTACTTATTCCTTATGTTGGCATGATAATTTTGCTATTTTCCATGCGTTAAAAATAAGGCGAATTCTTAGAGTGATTTTTATCTATAGCCTGTGGGTTCTTTGGGATAATGGAGCTGGCTGTTTTTTCCTCCTTTGATATTTTTTCTCTCAAAAAAAAAAATGAACGAAGTTTGTAAATATCTACTAAAAACAATCAAGTCATTTTATTAGGTTCTTTTTTTTGGACCCCTTACATGTTGATTTTTCTCCTGGAAAAATAAATCGACAAAACTGATGATGATAAAAATATAATCATTTAAAAAAATAAAATGATTGCCCGATTTGTTTAATTCTCTAACAGTTGTCAGGAGAGAACGTTTACATAACAAAAATACAGCCCATGTAGCATTGTTTGTAAAATCCACTTCAGTTATATTTTTAGAGAAGCTAAGAAAACCATATTGCTGCGAAAGCATTCTCAGACTTCATCCACCTCAAATCCCATTGGCTTCTTTTAAGTTAAAAATCTGAGTTTTAGTGAATGATGGGATATAAGGCAATGTTAAGTTAAAGTCATACTCTACCTTTCTGGGCCAAATATAGCTAACTCCGTGATAATTATGCACTGTCTTCTTGACTTATCAAAGCTTTTAACTCGCAATACTACTCTTCACCCTCAGGTAAAGTGGATTGAAAAGACCGTAGGGATAATTACTTTCAATCTGTCACTTTCCTTTTCCCTACATCCCAAACACTTCAACTTTGGATGCTTCCTTTTTTTTTTTTTAATCAAATCACAAGTAAATAAGCGTCTTTTCTCCATGAAGTTACACTAAAATGACTGATTCTCTTGAAAATTTCTCATAATGAAATTCTATACATTTCAGTTTAGAATGACTTTGAAACAATCTTTAGATTTCAGGATTTCTATTCATTCAAGTATGAAAAGTTTTGGTTAAATAGAATGGTATTTTAAAAATTAGCCTGGGGACAACACTATTTGGACAACTAGAGAATTCTTGTTGAAAGAGATGCACATGCTTGCAGCTTGGCCTAGTAAATTTTAAGAGGATTGGGATTCTCAAAATTGCTTTTCAATGAAAACCTACCGTACTATACACATAGAAAGAAAATGTATGTTATATACCATAGTATTATGTTTAATAGGAAAACTTGAAATAGGATGTTTAAATGTGCAGTCAGTACTTGCTACACTGCCTAATGTCTCATTTTCTTTGGATTCCAGTTAGAAGTGACTGGCCCTTGACCAGTGTCGTTTAGCATGTGGGCCGGTGGGTGGGCCTGAGGACAGACTTTGGAACCAGGTTTGGGCTGTTTCTGGGCAACTCTGAAGCATTTGAAGCCTCAGATCTTCCACCAATGAGGATAGGATACCACCTTGCAGAGCTGCCATGAGGCTAAAAGATAACGGATGAACTGGTCTCAAGGCTGTGTAGCTGTGGTGACAATCATGGCCCCGTCTCTTTTTTGTTACCAATTGTTCTATGAACTCATCTATTCATTTCTCATTTTTTGCCATAGGTAAAAGCCAGGTAGGTTTTCCAAATGAAGATTTTATGAAAATCTTGACAAAGTTCCTGTATGTCTAGGATATAGATATTTCTTTAAAAAAAAGAAAAACCTACTTTGATTTATTTGGGTTGATATATAGGGGCTGTGACTCTTTCAAAATAGACACAGTTTATTTATTTACTTTGTTTTTACTGCTTCGTGACATTTAATCAGGAACCTTATTGTCCCTTTCACATTCAAATCAAGCAAGAAGGGCTCAATCCTTCCATCTAGTTCTTAATCATGCTCCATCTTTTTTCATTTAACCTAAAAGTAGGCTCTGAAAAGTGTTTTGTATAAAGGGTTTTTAAAAATTAAAGTGATGCAGTGAACTAATTCTGCCCACATTTAAAAGTCATCAACTTCCAAAGTCCATTTGCCATTTTACCAGGGTGTTTGTAGCTTAGTTGATCATCAGAATTACCAGCTTAGTGCAGGTTTCCACTGTCACCTCTGGAGATGAAGATTCAGAAGCACCTGGATTAGATTCCTGTGTTTCATAAACACCGCAGTGAGTCTTAGGATTCAGCAAATTTGGGAAACCAAGCTGGATCAAAGAGTTGCCTTTATCTACAGTTAGAAGAATGTCTTCAAATAATAAGGTTATCACTAATTCAAAATGCTTTGGACAGTTTTCCAAGGAATACAAGCCATCTGGTTGGTGTTACAGTAGCGTTGTCATCAGTGTACTTAGAACATGTTAGTTTTATCAAGTTTTTTAAATGAAGAGGAGAACCTTATCAGTATATATGTATACAGGTGTGCGCGCCAGTGTTAAAACAGATTGTGTAAAAGTTCAACCCTGCTTTAAAAAGTCAACATTTTATGATAGAGTGTGCTATTCATCAAGGATTTAATTACTGAAATAAAAACATCGAATCTTTCAACATCCACTGCCAAATGCAGTTCTGTTACTTTTTTTTTCTTTACCCTTTTAAGATCACAGTGGAAAAAGCCCCCAACACCTGGTAGAAACCTCCCCCATCTAAAACTTGGTGATAAAATTTGTGTTATTGAATTTCAAATTCAGAATACATTTTTTTTCTTTCTCACTTCACCCGATAAAAATAAATTATTGGCCTTTTCTACGCATCCTCTTTGAATGGCATGCTAGGAGCTTGGAACATTCCTGAGAATGGAAGACAAATCCCCCAAGAACATCAGTGGCCCGGATTCCAGCTATCACTGAGGGTCTCTGCCCAGTCTGTGTGGTGTATTTATGTAAATTGCTCTCCATGCAATAACAGTCCTATTTCTGAGCCTGGTGCAGCTGTGGTCTAGCAGAGGAATAGTCTGAGAAGTCTGCTTGTTTTGGGGCAAGCTGGGAGGATTGGTCCCATGTTGCTCTCTGAATCCCAGCCTATGTCAGTGTTTCTAATGCGGCTCAGTCAAGTGTTAGTGAGAAGGCGCAGCCAAAGAGGATCTAGAAGCCTTTATTCCTCCAGCCCCCCAGAAGGACCACACACTGTGACCTCTCTGGAGCTTAGGGCAAAGGTAGGCCCTCCTGACCTGAGGTCTCAACTGAGGTCAGCCCTACCTGTGCTCTCAGGGACAGAATGGTGATCCCCAACCATTCCTCTGGCACACCTCAGAGAGGTCACAGCCAAAAAAGATGCCGGGATCAGTCAGTGGATTGGCCCACTTTACTTTGAGAAACATGCCCAGCCTGACTGGCAACTCCCAGTAGCTTTCAGAAAGAGGGAGGGAGATCATGTGGACAGGGCGCTGATGATGATGTGTGTGAAGAAGGTAGAGCTTAGAGTTAAATCCTGGGGTCCCTTTCTCTTACAACAAAAAGCACTGCTTCTGTACCTTTTTGATGGTGGATCAGTTGCTATCAGGAAATCTGAATATTTCTGCTCAAAACTGACTTTTCTGCATCCTGAAGAGGTCTTCCCATAGAAATCACCTGTGAGCAGCCCAGGCCGGGGAAGACATCCTTTCAGCTTTAAGTGTTGGCTCTTTCTGATAAACAGGCAACTCCCCCTCCAAATTCTGATGTGATTCCCTACTTGTTTAGCATTATAGTGCCTGACATAGTCATAGCAAGTGAAATTATGTTGGACTTTAAACAGCAAGTAGTAGTATATCACTTCCTAAGTATGAAACTATAACATCACTTTGGATGAGCTTTGCTAAAGTGCATCCCTCCCTTAGTAAAGTAGTCCTAATTGTTCAGAAACCAGCCCCGACAAAGACAGCTGCAGAAACACTCTTCCACACACCATCAAAATGTTTGACCAATTTTATTTTTGGCAGAAGTGAAATTTTCCCTCCAGCAGGATAGCTGCTTGTGCATAAGCTTCTCTAAACTGGCTGTGTGCGTGGTTAGATATGAGATCCCTGCTCCAGAAAATCCACCCAGGAAAATAGTATTAGTGAGCAAATTCTTGGAACAGTACTTTGTGCCTCTGCAGCCCCTGTTGCTGAAAAATATTTTAAATTTGGTGCTTTCCTGTGATATATAAGTTCCCTTAGAACAGGTCATGGGTAAGGATACACTTGAGTTTTAGTATGAACTCAAAGCCATTTTTTTTTTTTAATTCATTAGGTGAGTTGTCTAAACCATTGCTAGGTAAACTGGGATAAAAATGGTCACTGACCGGGTCTCCACTGGTGGCGCAGCAGTTGAGCGCTGGGCTGCAAGGCTGCCCACAGCCTCTGCAGCGCCAGTTCGATCCCCGGCTGCCGGCAAGGGTCCCACACGCCTGCTGCTCCCCTCAGCAGTGTATTTCATCAGTCTGCCTGTTCTGTTCCCCGCTTTGGCTCTGGTGAGTTCTCTCGCCCTCCCGCGCCCAGTGCTTGTGTAGATACATAAATAAATCTTTAAAAAAAAAAAATGGTCACTGACCTCACCTCGGTTTTATGAGGGGTTTTCCTTGTTGAAATGGGAAGTAGATGTTTTCTCTTTTTACTATGGAAAGGTTCAAGGCTAAATTGAGTGAGTTGAACAATTTTTCCCTAGATTTTTGTTGTTGTTACTATTGTTCATGTTAACACTAAAGCCCATATATGTGCCAAAGTTCTCCGATAATTAAATTGCATTTGAAACAAAATGTATTACCTGGTCATTCAGAGTTGCTCTTTTCAGGATTTTTTACAATGCCTGTTTCATATTTTAAGTGTTGCCTTCCTCTACTTTAAACAGTAATTTTATAGCAAATACTAACAGATTGTGTTGACTTTCCCTTCCACACACATCTATCCTGACCTTTCATTGACTAGTCAGCTCCTTTCCCCCTGCAGCAGACTCACACTCACATAACTCTATCAATGCTTTACAAATAAATAAATAACATAAATTAGGTTTTGCACATCTCCATTCCCCTGGGACCATGCACTTTGGCAGCAGTAATCTTTCCCTTTAGTTCAGCTTGTTTGAAATACAGTGGCACTTAAAAGGGAAGGCTGGCTGGAAGGACACCAATAAAAACACCAACTCAGCTTAAAACAATTTGATTTCAACCCAAAATGAATTACCTTGCAAAACAAATAGATAATGGCCAATAGGATAAGTCTACTTATCAAGACTATTCCCTGCTGAGAGTCAGAACTCCAGGTTCATTTGAAGCTCATTGCCCCGTGAGGATAAAAGATTATGGTGTCCTCAAACATTTATGTGCAGATGATCTAGCTGGAGGAGGGAATGAATTCTGAGTATCCTATGCCCAATCCTTGCTGGTTTCAGAAGTGACAGCTCCAATTTGACCCTCCAATGTAAAATTCAATCGTGTTGGCTGTTAAAAGAAATGGCCTTTCTGTAAGTGAAAACTACCCAATAGCATCCTTTTGTTTCTCAGAAGGCAGTATCTTTTCTAAACAATATCCAGAAAGTGGTTATGTAGTTGACATTTTATTAATAGTTCTTATTTTGATAGTATACATGTACCAGGTAGGTTTTGCACATTCATGAATCAGTAATTATTTTTTTGCCCTAATGTGGACCATCCAAAGAAAGCACATAGTTTAGAACCTCTTGGGGAAAAGCAAGAACAATTTTTCTAGTGTTGCAAAATATTATAACCATGCGTATACCCTCCCATACTGCATTAATACAGTTAATGAGCAATTCTCTCTCTCTCTTTTTCTCTCTCTCTCTCCAAATTACTTTGTGTAGATATTCTTGATATTGCACTTATGAAGTAGACTCTAAGAGATCATTTACATTATTTGCAAAAATTATGTCAATATGAAGTTTATCACCATAGTGGAATGTAAGAGAGTAATGATTAGCAATTCCTACAGAGTTTGAAGTCTACTATGACTGGGCCTCCCTGGTGACAAAGGGGTTAAGTCTCTACATTACCACCAACATGACATGATTTTGATCTCCAGCTGGGGAGCTAACCCACACGGCACAACAGACCTCTCCTGTCTTGCCCACTGCTCCCATCAGCAGTGTATTTCAGTCAGTCTGCCTGTTCTGTTCCCTGCTCTGTCACTAGTGAATCCTCTCACCCCCACCCCACCCTTGCACACTGGCCCGTACCCCTTTACTATGCAAAAATAAATCAATGACTTTTGGCATAACATTTAATTCCACAATAAGTCACTCCTTTTACTAAAAATTAAATGCAAATTTCTGAAATTGGGCCGTAACCACACTATGTCAATCGGAAATGGCAGCCTTGTTTGGGTATTTTATGCTTTATGTTCACAGACCAGTTTGTAAACTATACAGTGAATCAAAAATATCTAAGGAAATATAAGTCATGAATGAATTCTATGATTTTTTTCAAATATTGTTAAGACTACATGCTCCATGGTCAAATAGGACTGGAAAACTAGCATAAAACCAAGATTCTATCCTCAGCCGGATGACTAAGCCTTACCATGCTTTATTTACACCATGCAGAAAAATGAGAATACTTCTTCCTTCCTTTCTTACAGCATGCTTGTGAGAAATAGAGAGTTTTCAGAACCTCAGCTTCACTCCCTTACCGCTGTTACCAGGAGGCTGTCCAGATGGCATTGTTTATGATCCTCGGCTGATTTTCTTTATATTGTCATGACACCTGTGACACTTTGATTTCCTAATGATATTTCCATAGGTTATTATTCAGTGTTTTCTAGATTTTGAAGGGGAATGGAGGCATCCCATCTCTCTGACCTACAGAAGCATCATAACCATGGATGTGAAAAGGGGTGAATCATTTCTGTGCCGTATCACAAGTTGAGTTTCCATTTGCAACTGCATTTTGTGAAGTTTAACACTGGCACTTGCTGTTCCACTGCTAAATGATATAGTTACTCATCTGTATATAAGCATCTGAAATTGTATCAGGTAATTACATAAATAAAGTGTTTTACACAAAGCATTAAAATCTGTATCAGAAAGAAAGAACAGCTCGCATTATTTCTCAATCTTTATTGGCATATGTAAACACTTTTAAAGCTCTCAACAAAATAATAAACTAAAACATTTGCCTCTCTTCCTGTTAGTCATTATCTAGATATTTTTCTCTTAGATAAACAAGCTACAGTGTGTTTACTGAAGCTTGCATTGATATTCCCCAACAGTGTTTGCAACTTGAGTTTTATTCCAGCAGCTACACGAAATGAGTCCACGGTGCAGGGAAGGCAGGCCCCTCTGGAACCTAAGATTATTTGTTCTCTCACTGTTCTAAAGGTAATTAAGGAGCATTGCATGTTTCTCAATTAATGATTTCTCATTCAACAGGGGATCTTTGATGCTAATTTGTTTTAATCAGGGCAGAGGCTGCTCAAAAACTCTAAACAATTCAGTGAAGAGGAACTAGGAATTTTTAATCAAGTAGAAGAGATTTAAATGCTATGAGGGATGCATCCATCATGCACTTTCCATTCCTTTTCATTTAACTGTGCCTTTTGAGTTTTATGAAACAATGAGAGAATTATTAAACAGAGTATTCTGTATTATATAACAAAAATTTTCTTTATATATTTGTGTATATGTATAATGGACTTCCATTTAATATCTATTTGTACTCGACCTTTATTTCTCCCTATATATAGCAAATATATATATATAACTGTGCATACCTAATACCCTTATTATAGATATATACTTCTAAATGTACAACATGTAAATATAATAGTATATTTACATATGCCTAGCAAAACATGTAACAGTATATTTACATATATTTATGCAAAATAATGTATAAATATGCATTAGATTGAAATTTTTCTTTTTCTTGTTAAGACTTTATGTTTTATAGTAGCTTTAGGTTCACAAAAATATTGACAAGAAGCTAGAGAAATTTATTATTTATCCCCTGCCTCCCCATTAGCAAATATCACCCATCAGAATTTGTTACCACGGATGAACCTACATTGACACATCATAATCATCCAAAGTCCAAAGTTTAGTGTCCATTCTTGGTGTTGTCCATTCTGTGGGTCTGACTTATATCCATCATTTATAATATCATACAGAGTATCCAGGTTTGAAACATTAAAAATAGGCTTAAAATTGTCATGAAGTGGCTGTGCATAATTTGATCTGCTAAATGAAATTGTACTATGTACACAGACATAGAAGCCTCACAGTAGTTGCAGCTTAAGAGGCATTACAGTATGATTGCACCCTTTGTGTAAAAAAACAACTTCAGTGAGTGACTATGTCTTATGAACATAAATACTCAAAGTAGTGCTGCCTTTTCCCCCTAATAATCAGCTGCCTTTTCCCCCTAATAATCAGCTTCTGATCAACTCATTCTGGTATTGTAAAATCAAGGCTAATTTTCAGGAATGTCAATCATGTGAAAATGAGGTGGAATGTTTTTCCTCCCATAAATACAACATAGAAAATCTCAAGAAATGGTTGAGAGAGCTAACTAGGTAAATACTCTTTGGTTCCCTGCTATCCCAAATTAGAAGATTCCTTTTCAGTGTGGTTGTGGGTCTGGCAACGCTATCACCATTAACTTATAGGAAAAATTCCTTGAGCATTCCCAGACCCTCAAAAACAACCTACCAATTCATACCAAAGAGGAACGTCCTACTTTCAGATAGTGGAAGAAACCTGTATTGAAATAAGTGGGAAAATGAACTTTTTTTTAACTTGTGGTTTTCAAAGATCAGGTCATTATCAGGAGTTTATTAAAAACAATGGTTAGGGCCTGCTCCTAGAGTTTCTGATTCTCTAAGAATATTCTAGTGGGTTCTCAGACTACGGCTGGTGACCTCACTTGGAGAATTCCTAGTACAAATAATCTATCAGAAGGAGGTGGCCATTGTGTGACTGTAGCACTGAGCAATGATTGTGTTCTTCATCTACTCCAGGTCACTAGTTCTCTGCCAGAAAGTGGGCAGGCTTTGCATGTCTTGAAGTAGCCTCTGGGTGAATTTCTGGACCACTTTGGTCAGTAACCAAGTGGTGAACTTGGACAGAGGGATGGCCTAAGTGTCTGTAATTTAATCATGGAGATCCCCTGGAGGGCTGCTGTAATTACATATGCTTGAAAACAAACTTTTGAATGAAAAAATGATCTAGTTCATACACCTGTGCTAATGGGTGATGCTGGAAACCAAATTGCCCTATATGAAACTAAACCAGGATGATGTTTCCCAGCCCAGTCAATAATAGGAATGATTTGGGGCTCTATCAGGCATCTGTAATTTTAATAAGGGCTCCAAATAATGCAACAGACTGGTTTGGGGAACTCTACTTAAGGACCCAATTCTTTTTCCTTAGAACTTTTCTTTGTAGTGGTTCTAAAATTGCTTATCTAGAGGTTCAGAGGGAAGTCCATTCATAGAGCCTCTATCTGGGGCAAGTGCCCACCCACTACACAGGCTGACCTCATTTGTTCAGCTCACCCTGGCATATGGCATAACTGCATCATTGAGCTAGGATTTGGCCCAGTGAATCTCTCAACTGTATAATTATCACACAGTGTGATAAGTTCAATTGTGATTTGCTTTGGTTCTATCAATGCTGTGAGCTTTCTCTGACTCCCATAGCATAAGGCAGTTTGGGGACCAAGAGAACTGGGCTCTTGTATACTGTAAAGGTATAAATGGTTATTTAATTGCCCTTAAAAATTAATCAGCAGGCATGGAATCAAATGCTTGAAAATGATCCTGTTTTAAACTATATCTTATGAAAGTTCAAATAATAGCACTTACTCTGTGCTAGGCATGAAGCATGGTGTTGAATACTCCTACAGCAAGAGAAGAATATAAAAATCCTACTTTCCAGATGAGAAAGCTGAGGTTTAGAGCATTAATCTGCTTTAGTTCAGGTGGCAGGTATGAGAGAGAATCTTCCACATCATGCTGCTTCCCCAAGCCCAGTGGTGATTAAATAGCACATAGCTCTTGATGACAGGCAAAATGGCATCAGAAACCCTAACCAGCATCCCTCGCTCTGCTTCTTAATGACAGATACATTTAATGCAAGAGAGTTTCCCTTTTCTAAGGAGCAATCTATCCTTTGGGCATTATCATGGTTCTCCCATGTAAAGAAAAGCTCTAACTCTATCCAACTCCACACCATCTCAGACTTTCAGATGCCTGTGAATAAGCCACGTTAATCACACAATGATCGTGTGTGTTCATATGCTGGCTTCAGACCTAATTGTGTCATATTCCATCATTGGGTCCCCAAAGTGCTAGTCCTCTAATCGAAAGAGACTTTGCAATTACAAGTTACATCTTGATGTGAATGTATTGTCAGTATTCCACTTTGCTGGGATTTACAAAGCTCTAGACTGTAGTTGGAATATTCATCGAAACCCAATGCAAAAGTCATCAGAACAATGGTCAGGGCCCTTGGAGGGACTCATTCATCCATCCATTTGGTTAGAGTCAGGTACTCCACACCCCTCTACCTCCCCACACCCTTTGCTGAGCAACCCTCTCTTTGCCAGGTTCTGCCTTATACTGTTACTTAACCCAGTTCCCCCCCCCCCCGAGATTCTTAGCTCCTGGAACATAAAGTACAGCTTTTAATAGGTGCTTTTGGTTTATATAGATCAAATCTCATTACAGGTTGCTAGGAGAGGCATTAAAATTCTTTCCTAGATCTTTAGTGTTGCTATCATTAAAACTAGACTTGAAATCTTGTCTTTACACAGATCCCACAGTAACAGGACTGGCACGTGGTTTCAGTGAGAGCATGTTCATGAGACTTGGGGTTACCTTTTTTTTTTTCAGCCTCAGTTATCTCATCTGTCTAATGAGTGCCTGTCTCGGTATATACAGGTTCTGAATCCTTGCCTGGTGTCGACATTATTGTTCTTACTTGAGTTACTGTGCATTAGGTTTTTATGAAATCAGCACTAAGCAGGCTGTGTTTGAACCCATCCAGTTAGTTCAGTTGCACAAAAAATACATGTCCTTAAAATGGCACACAGATCTTCCTAGGAGTGACATTTACAAGGTCAAAGGTTTCATTCTGTAATTTTGGACTACTTTGATTACATTCTGGTCTGACATGATAGCATGTGGGAAGAAAAGGGTTTTGTTGGCTTCTCTCACATTTTCTTTATCTTTTCTAACAGAGGTCCTTTGAATGCTACATATTTTGAGTGAGTATTCTTTATGTACCACCACCAACATACTAAACCCTTATTTTATCTCTCAGTGAAGCTTAATTTCTATCCAAAGGACAACATATTGTGACTTCATTGTTTCAGCTATGTGTTGAAACTTCATCGCCTCTAAAGGGACTTTATGAAACACATTCTTTCTACTCAGAAGATGAAACAAGATGTAGAGAATTCATAAGTTATTTTGGCATCAAAAGATTCTATAAAAAGAGCTGTTAGTGGACAGAGACAGAAATGTTCATGTACTCTAGCCTCCTAAAAAGAGCACTGGAAATGTTAGCAGCAGCCAACTTCCAGAAGAAATTATCACAATTACTGTACATTTATAGTGAAGAGGAATCTTTCTCCATTCAGAGACAACATGAGTGATATTTCTCCATCAAGTGTGGCTTAGAAACATGCAAATTCTAGGTAACTAGCTGGCGGAGTTCCATAACAACTTGAAAAATTAATTGTGCAGCTCTGTGCTGGGCCTGACTAATCCCCTGACAATCCTTAAACTCTGTGACAAGTTTTGTTTTTGTTTTATTTCCTGTAATGATGAGCCTTAAGGGTATCATGTTTGAGGGGAGTGACATGTCTCCAAGATTCAGGCTCCTCTAAGAGTGAGTGTGCTGACTCAGAAAACAGGGGGACAGGGTAGTAGACAGAGTAGTTGTCAAGCAAGTTAGGAACCATCTGGGTTTAAAGTTTTATGGCCAATTAGTGCTACAGGCATCCTGGGATCATGTCTCAAAGGAAGCCATGACTCTCTTAAGATTTATTTCTTAAAAGGCAGTATAGACCTTAGCATCTGCATTAGGAGATGTCCCAAGTTTTTCTCCTGATTGTTTGACATATTTTGAATTCCATAACATCTGAATAAATTATTTTTCCTTCTTTCTATCTCTACTCC